GCAGGCTGGGTGTGTGTTACCACCTTCCTCCCCTCCCTTCGCCCTCTTCCCTAGTATCAACGTAACAATGCCAAAAAGGCACCTCAAGAGGACTTTGAGTAAGGTTTTCCCCTTGTCTGCCTCCTGTTGCTGATTCTTCTGACTTGCAAGGCTTGATCTTTTTCAAAGCTTCTCTCCCATATTATCAATCTGGCATCTATACTTTATGCAAGGTCTCTAAGGTCTTAGCTTGTGTCTTCAGAAACACCCTCTTACAGATGCCAACAGCCAAAGATGTCAAGAACCTCTGTCCTAAAAGAGTATGCTAACCTGATTGACATCCAAGTCAGCCACTTAGATCAAATAATTCAACTTCTGGGCCACTAACCAAGGCTATTTCTCCTCCTTTCAGAGTTTTTGCTTGTACAGACACTGCTGGAAACCTGCAAGTAGAACCTGCCTATGCCCTGGAAAAGCAGTGGAAGGGAAATAAATCATTCTTAGGACGGGAGTTTGTGCTGCAATTAGAACTTATCTTACCTTGGAATGGCCACACATGTGATGAAGTTGTCTGGTGCTCAGCTGCAAGGTTTTCAGCAAACTCTGCACATCATCCTGCAATAAATAAGTAGACGAGCAAATCATTCTCAAAGGATTTTTCCATAAGAGAAACAAGAATAATGAAACAGTATTAGTCCTAGCAATCCTTTCAAAGGGTTATGGGATAGAGATATGATGCACGTATGCAGAAAACATCAGACGAACTGGATTAAGCCATAGGAGACTTGCACTGTGCATCTAAGCCAAGTAACTGGTAACAGAAGTATGACCACATGTCACAAGGCCAAGCACTTTGAACCAAAACTGATTTTGAATCAGAGTTTGGAATGAACACATATCAGTGAAAGTGGGGCAATTAAAATCAAGACAACCTTGTCACATCTTGCTTTGAGTACAACCTTCTGAAATAGGGGAACCAGAGGAAAAATATAAAACATACTGCTAGATTGTGGTATTTGAAACACATCCAGCATGAACTCTGGGTATCAATCCTCTCTATTGAGCAAATTATGTGGCACTTTCTGTTGTCCAGTGGCAATGACTAGATATCTGTTTGATAACCTCATTCCCCCAAACATCCATGAGACCAGATCTTACCTTTGCAATAGAAAGGAGTTATCTATTAGACAAATTGTGAAGACTAAGCTAAAGAATGAGTCTCACTGGCAAAGCTGGATTGCCTTGCAACAAAGCAGGGGGAATAAGTGAACTGTTCTTGCTTGTCATGTAGTGCAGCAAGGTTGGCCTGTCCATCTGCACTCATGCATGTTGTCTGGCTCAAAGCTCCAAGAATTATTGCAGAGACACCAATGTCACTGTCCATCTGGACTGCAAGCCCTCACCAACCTGACTGCTCATGTGAGCTTCCTCCTCTGTGAGTGACACCTTTGTGGTAATAACTTTTGAGGGAGATGGAGGTTGAAAGGGCTTCTTTTGCTAACAGTGAAGCCATCCAACCGGAAGAGTGATGGCAAGCTGGGAGTGATCTGTTTGCTGAGAGCGTGCTGGACAGGCAAGCAAACAGGGCAAAGCACAGCTGAAGACATTAGACGTGTTTGTCATGAAGTGTCGTAAGTGTCATGCCAACATATGACCAGAGACAGGAATCTCCTTCTAGCAAGCATCAGTCATGCTTCCCAGCTGGTTCCAGACAGTCCTGTCTCCAAAAGGCTTACCCTGTGCCTTTTAAAGCTGTAGTCCAGGAGAGGCATGGCAAGCTTCAGAAACACTTCTACAAAGAGACGGCCGTACTATAAAAGAATGATAAATGCATCAGAAAGCAAATTTAAATTCCTTTTCAAAGAACCATCAAAAAGCCAGCTAAGATAATGATACATTCTCTCAAGCTACCCCAGAGACTGTTCTCATTTAGTAAAAGACTATATTCTTGAGAAGGCTGTACTGGAATATACAGGATCAGTAAAGGGTCCCACTTTAATCACTGCAAAGAGAGGCTAGAAGGACAAGGTCTCATCGTTGTACACATCCCTGGTTTTATTCACTAGCAAATTGAGACTAAAACTGAAGTAAACACAAAATGTTAGAATCACTATATGTATATATGAGTCCTAGCCAGAAAAGGGGGAGTTGCAGAGGGACACATGGTCTTTCTGGGCTCTAAGGGAGACCTGGCTGCTGAGATGTATCCTCTCATTTGGAGTACCATGGGGAAAGGAGAGAGCGGAAAGGGTCTATAGTCAGTAATGCCAATTGCAGCAAGTTCGTTGTGGTTGAGCCATACAATGAGGATTAAAGAAGACAGTTAAAGGTATAAGAAACAGTATCTGCTTCTTCCAGAGAATTCAGTAACCACTCTACTACACTGGAGGCAATGATTCAAGAAAGCTCGTAATTAAACTGTTCGCTTGAGTTATTTTGAATTCTTGCTTACCTTCAGACAGATGCTGAGTACAGGCCTGCTGTCAAATACCTACTTGGGCAAGAGGAAAAAAAGAGCCAGATCAGTCCATAAGTCTAAAGGAAACAATGTAAGCACAGCAGCCAATTAAAAATAGCCCTTCATTACCTCCCCTTCATTAAAGTGTGAAACCTGTTCTAAGGCAACATCCATTCTCAAGTTTCAACAGGGAACACCCCATAAGTGCATGAAGTGTAATGGCTGTCAGGCAGAAGGAAGTACTTGGCAGGATGGCTGTTTGGTGATCTAAGGTGCCCCTTTTGCAGATGGCACAAAATTATCTCAACAAGTCTGAAGTTCTTGATAGTTTGGGACCTAGGAGACCTAAGTCCAGCTGATGGGCAAGTAGCCACATAATGGACAAAGCAAAACTGAGATGTGCAAAATAATGTATTTTGGGGGAAATAGTGAAACTGTTACATTAATGGTGCCAGCAGGCAAAAGGCACCAGGTGTCACTGCTCAGGTCACACACAGCTGTAGTCCAACAGCAAACAAAAGAAATAGAACAGATGGTCTCAGCTCCCTTGAAGGCTTTCTTCTGGTATACATTTGTGTATGTATTTTTGCCAGTGACCAATTCTATCACTAATTAGTGAATGTTTTAACTGGCATAGCACACAGGTGTGAGTGAGAGCTGTGAAGGTACCCTGGTGCTGCTATGGATTGCAAAACAGAACCAGCTGGTCCAGCTCTACCCTTTATGCTCTCAAAAGGCATATGGAGCACAGGTAGGACTCCAGTGAATGCTGCTGTATAGAAGAATCCAGCTCAATTCACCAGAGCTCATAAGCTGGACTTGAAAAAGCTGGACTTGCCAATCATCGCTTCAGATATGATAAAAGCAAACAGTAGTGATCAACCTAAGCAAGGAGAAAAGTGCAGCTCTATCTATTGCCTTCTGCCCAAAAAATCATCACACTCAGTGACACTGAATCTACCAACTCCAACACTGATGGAAGGGAATATTTCATCCAGTGGGGCTGGCCTCTAGAGTTCATCACCACAGGATGACATGAATTGTCAGCAGGATTCAAAGGAAGATCATATGTTACCATAAGAGCAAGTGAAGCTGAGGGCTATCAGATAAGTACTGAACGCAGGTTACAGACAGGAATCCAAGCCTCCTGCTGTTCAGAGTATTGGCCTGCCTTCAGCTGAGTACATCAGGAAAATGTTTCCTTCTATCAGATGTTATTCCAGACCTACCTGAAGGGTTTCTCCCATCTGCCTTTCCACAGCTGGTAGTGGACTCTGTCAGATACAAAATACTGTACTAGGGAATTGGGGTGTTTGTTCAGTCCTTTTTCAGCACTTCCTTACATCATCCTGTGTTTGTGCAGACTTATTATTTGTGTGAGAACTATGTTAGTAAGATGTGCAGGCTGTAAGAATTAAGTACTATTGAAGTGAAAGCTAAATGGAAACCCTTGCACGCAGATTATAACTGGCTTTATTTACCACCTCCAGGTTGTTCCCCTAGTCAGCCATACCTCACGTTTTTCCCTTGTGCTCATGAACCTAGGTACGCTGGGCTTTGCTGGGAATCTGAAGGGAAAGCCAGAAAAATGACCAGAACCTCACCTTGACCAAGTTAACGAGGATATGGAAATTCCGCACAGCAATGTTCCACCGCAGCAGCTTCTCCAGTTGCACCTAACGGGATGCAAGGGGACAATAACCCAAGGTGGTGTAGTTCCTCTCACCTTGCTGGATGCTCTCAGCATTTGCTGTACTCAAAGCATTGTTGTTGTTGTTGAAGACAGAGGAACAAAGCTTCACCACAGGCAGATTTATCAGAGCAAAACCACTTAATGGCAATTCCAGCCTGATCAGTGCCCACATGGCTTAAAATGCTAAGAGTTAACACACTTCCTTGCTCTCAGAGCAGCTCTTGGTTGCAAAATAATTTTGTGCTCCCACACAGGCATGCAGGCCAACTGCACAGCTTAGTATTTTGCCAGTTACTACCTGTTTTCTGGTTATAGCTTCTGCTGGATTTACTGGATTTTTGACATAGTACAAACCAGAAAAAAAGGATGCTTCTTTTATGCTACCCTGTATATTAGTTTTGGCTGATGAATGAAGCTGTCTGATTGCATTTCCTAGACAAAGTTCAGAAGTAGATTCCTTTCCAATTTATACATCTTTATTGTACTGTACAGTTTAACTTATGTCTTCTTCCCCTCAAACAGTTCAGTGCACTTATTTTCCTACCTCACTTGAGTCTGATGGTTTCCCAGCTGGGATGCTTTTCACTGAACTCTCTAGCTGAGCCATCATTACTCTGAAGAAAACTGGGAATGTCTGCCTGTGGAGAAAGTGAGAGCAAAACTAAAAGCCAGCTCTGAGCATCTAGATAGGCCTTTTGTCCCCAGAACAATGTGGAAAACTTGAAGGTTACCCAGCTGGGCATCCTTCTTGATAGGAAATCACAGGAGATTGACCCTAGGACTCATAAGCATGTCTACCCCAGCCCCATTGCCCAAACAGATGGAGAATCCTGGAAAACCACTACCACTTCCCCAGTATGAACCACACACAGACACCACCCACTTCTTCGTGGCTCTCAGGGTGCACAGCAAAAGGTTTGCAGCTCTCAGCATAAGATGATTTTGGTAGTTCCAAAGTGCAGAAACTTTGGCCATCCCTGCATAAACTGTGCTTCCAAATTCCTGTGGTAGGAGCAGAAACACCCTGAATCCATGCTTCCACATTCCTATGCTAGGAGCAGAAACACCCTGAGTGTGCTTTTGCACACTGGATACCCACCCAGGACTGCCTACAGCCACCTCAGGCCTCTGAGGCTGACTTTTGGAGTGCTTTATACCACCATAGTAGCACAGAAAGAGGCAACATACCTGACGACAGACAGCAGTTCATTCTCCAATTAAAATGGCTCACAAATAATAAACTCAACATTGTGTTAATGCACAAGGACATTTCACCTTGACATAAAGCTAACCATGTACTAGCCTGTTGCGTACTGCCAAAAGAATGTTTACAAATGCCCAGAGTAGTCCAAAGCAGTACTAGCATGAAACCATAATAGACCACAAAATAAGAAAATTAAATATTAAAAAGCAGAAATTGCCATTGTGCATCTCATGACATTCAAAGTTTCTATTGATATAATTACCTGCTTAATGTAGGATAAGTAGAAGAACATCCATCTTTGGCAGAGTTGACCAGTTCAGGAACACCAACACTGGAGATTTCTTCTATAGCTTTCAGCATGTTATCTGTGTGCTCCAGGTAGACACTAAATCCAAAACCAGCTTAGTTCATCAGTAAATATTATGCAGAATAACACAGCAAGATCTTGAACACTGCCCTACCTGCAACATGTGGCCTAAAATTGTCAAGCTCATTCTTATGCCAAAGGCAATCATATGTAGGAAATCCAAAGCTATACTTGGAACTGTCACAGTAATGTCATTAAAAGCTACCATCATCTGAAACAAACCTGAATTTCCTCATTCTTGTATTTAGGAAGGACAGCCCAGGAAGAGGAGGAGATGGAGTTGGCCTTTATGTGAGAGGATGGCTGGAATGCATGGAGCTCTGCCTGAGGATGGGTGATGAGCCAACTGAGAGCTTATGGGTAAGGATGAAATCACCAACCAATATGGGTGGCATTGTAGTGGCTGTCTGCTATAGACCACCTGGATCAGGAAGAAGTAAATGAAGCCTTCTACAGACAGCTAGAAGTAACCCTATCTTTGTAGGCCCTGGTCCTCATGGGGGACTAACCACCATGATACCTGCTGGAAGGACAACACAGCAGGGCATAAGCAATCCAGGAGGTTCCTGGAGAGCATCAGTGACAACTTCCTGACACAAGTGACAGAGGAGCTGATGAGGAGAGGTGCTCTGCTGGACCTCACACTTAAAAGCAAGGAAGGGCTCTTTGGGGAAGGTTGAAGACAGCCTTGGCTGCAGTGACTGTGAGATGGTGGAGTTCAGGATCCTGAGAGAAGGGAGCAGGACAAACAGCAAGATCATAACCCTGGACTTAAGGAGGGCAGACTTTGGCCTCTTCATGGATCTTCTTGCTATGGGGCAAGGGCCTAGAGGGAAGAGGGGTCCAAGAAAGCAGGTTGATACTCAAGGATCACCTCCTCCAAGCTCAAGAACAGTCCATCCCAGAGAGCAGAAAGTCAAACAAAAATGCCAGGAGGCCTGCATGGATGAACAAGGAGCTCCTGGCAAAACCCAGACTCAAAAAGGGAGTACACAGAAGGTGGCAACAGAGACAGGTAACCTGGGAGGAATATAGAGACACTGTCCAGGCATGCAGAGATGTGGTTAGGAAAGCCAAAGCCCTCCTGGAGTTGAATCTGTTGAATGTGGCAAGGGGTGCCAAAAGCAATAAGAAGGGATCCTCTAAGTACATAAGTAGCAAATGGAAGATTAGGGAAAATGTGGGTCCACTGCTGAATGGGGCAGGGGCCTGGTGACACAGGACATGGAAAAGGCTGAGGTAAATGTTAAGGGACTGAATGCCTTCATCACCTCAGTCTTTACTAGCAAAACTGGCCTCCAGAAATCCCATGCCTTAGAGTGGGGGTAAGTCTGGAGCAAGGGAGACTTTGTGGAAGAGGATCAAGCTAGGAAATAGCTAAACAAACTAGACATACATAAGTCCACAGGCCCTGAGTGCTGAGGGAGGTGGCTGATGCCATGGTGAGGCTACTCTCAATTATCTTTGAATGATCATGGTGATTGGGAGAGGTGCCTGAGGGCTGGAGGAAAGCAAATGTCACTTCTATTTTCAAGAAGAGCAGGAGGAAGGACCCAGGGAACTACAGGCCAGTCAGCTACACCTTGATCCCTGGGAAGGTGGTGGAACAACTATCCTGGAAACCATTTCCAGGCACATGAAGGACAAGAAGGTGACTGGGAGCAGTCAGCATGGATTCACCAAGGGGAAGTCATATCTGAACACCCTGGTAACCTTCGATGAAATGACTGGCTTGTAGATGAGGGGAGAGTAGTGGATATAGTCTTGCAAGGTTTTCAACAGTCTCCTGTAAGATCCTCATAGAGTAGCTGTTGAAGTATGTGCTGGATGAGCAGACGGTGAAGTGGACTGAAAACTGGCTGAACAGCCAAGCTTAGAGGGTTGTGCCCAGCATGGTCCTGGGCAGACTGCTCTAGGTCACCCTGCTGGAGGAGTTGGGTTGGAACAAGGTGACCTCCAGAGGTCCCTTCCAACCTCAGCCACCCTGTGATTCTGTGATTGTATTTCACCTAATACCCAGTCCTGCTCTCCTTGACTTCAGTGAGAGCTGATTTGCTTTCAGTTTAGTGAAAAAAAACCCAGACACTTTGGTCCAAATCCACACTTTCATGTGTATGTATGCACGCATACATGTATAGATGTGTTGATGTAGACTGACAAGCTATAGTCTAGCAAACATAAGGTCCAAACATGCTTCTACGGCCAATGGTTAACAGAATTCTTCCTATTGCTCGCTGTCTTTCAATGCTGTAGAAATAGTGCTTTAGGCCAAACTATCTAAGTATGAGGTTTATGATTGAGAGGTGTCATTCCTCTGCAGCAACAGTAATTAGAAAAAGAGTGTCTTGGCATGCTTGAGACAATGGCTTGAGCCTTACCAGAGCAGAGTATGCAGTGCACTGTTGAACTGGCTGCCCTTCTCTCGGTCTCCACCAGGCTTTATCCATGACTGGCAGAGGAATTGCTTTGCTAGTGAAGCTGTAAAAGATAAGGGATAACCTACTGAAGGAAGAATCCAAGATAATATCCTTCTTCCATATAAAGGCAGTGTGTCCAAATGGCTTTTTGAAAGATCACAATATGCCTGAACTTTGGTGAGTCAGAATGCATTTCCCCTAAAAAGCAGTAAGGCCACAAGGACATACATCGTGATCACAAAACACATGCACATCCAGTGTGTTCCTGGTCTGGAATACCTTTTCACATCAGAACTGTGATCCATCTCTGGCCATTTGTCCCTGACAAACTTATGTTAAGACTTATTTGTTTGGTAGCTCCTACAGTGTGCCAACTGTTTGTTTTCAATTAGGCAATATGCAACTCTTAGGGCATCCATTGCTAGAAATGGAATTCCAATAACAAGTGGCTTGACTTTTTGTCCACAGCACTATAATAATAAATGTGAACAGGCAAGTTTAAAGTTTACAGATTTCTTAAATCAAAACTGCTAACAAACCTGCTTGTCTCTTGCAGAAATGTTTAAAACCACTAAATTGTTAGTTAAAATTGGTTATTCCCTGCCATATTCAGCGGGCAGTTTCCCCAGTGTGGGGCTGTTTAAAATAGTAAAATAATCTCAAAGTAGGGAACTTACAATTCTGAGTGGCTATGAGGATCTGGGAGGGACAAATTCTAGAGGTGTCTTAGTATGACAAGGTATGGCTGAGAGAGGTGACCGTCTGGAGTCTTTATTTCACTGTGTGACAAAGTGGAGACCAACTAGTTTTCTTGTATATTCCCTGCAAGCATGCCTATGCCTTATCTGCTTGAATGCTATTCCTCTTACAGAACGGGTCCTAATCCATGAGAAGAGCTCTCTTAATGGAAAACATTTGTTGCATGGGGTTAAGAACATACAGGTTTTCCTCTCTGTGCCCTGAAGTAACAGCTGTATTTGCAGTTCATTTCTGTAATTTTTGAAAATGAGCTGTCACAGTCATGTGTACTTGCACTAGGAACCATATCAGATTAAGTCTATGATCACCTCCACAATCAGTGATTAAACTGGTACCAAAATTGAACAGCAGGCTTGTTCTTAGAACTCTTAAAAGCAGTGAAGCTCTGATTTTTAAAAACACCAGTTAAGAGAGCTGCAGTCTGCCTTCCTGCATGTGACTGAGGCACAGCAAAACAAGTACCAAAGAGGTTCCAATATGTTTACTGCTGTTCCTTTATTAATAGCTAGGACTGTTCATCCAGTGAGATTACTAGGATACCAAAGGGAAACCTCTCCCTCAACAGATGCACTCCAGAGATAGAACCCAAGATTTACAGGCAAAGGACAGCACGAAAACTAATCTGAGATTAGAGGTTCTTCACACATTACCCATTTTCTCTTTCTTCCAGCCAGCCATTGGTTTCTCAGCGATGGCAATCAGAAGCTGAGTGAGGATGAACGCACAGTGGAAGCTGGGAACACTCTGCTGGAAATTCAGTAGGTAGTGAAAACTCTCACTGGGGATAACAGGAAAGGGAAAATGTGAACACAGTGTAGATAGGGTAATCTCCTAGAAACACATAAATAAAAAGGAACTACTAGACCATCTCAGATCCAAGGTCTCCCTAGCCCAGTATTTTGTCTGGCAGTGCCCTTCTGAAGGAGCAGTCAACCACTAGTAGATAAAAATTCAGTCACTGAGAAACTCCTCTCAAACCCCAGTCGCTCTAAGTCTAGCAACATCTTTATACACTGCTTTTGCCTAGTGTTCCTGTAGGCATTTGAACTATCCAGAACATACTAATTTCTTCTGTGAATCCTACTAATCTCATCTCAAATAGCATACAAACAAATGAGATCCATAGATTAATGCATATTTTATAATCCAGTAGCTCCTTTTCATTAGGTTTGACTGCACTGCCATTCAATTAAATACAAAGCTTTGTTTTAAGCTATTGTGGTCTCTATGAGAGGTCCCAAACACACGTTTACCCATCATGCCCACACAAACCAGAGAAAACTGCTTGAAATTCATCCCTTGCAGAACTTGGGAAATACTGCTTCTACCTTATCAGCTCCTCAAGAAGAAGAAACTCTGTCTCTCCCGGCTTTAGCCTGTCTGCAAGCACCTGGAGAGCTGACCTTAGCAAGTCAGTATTTTCATGCTGAGAAAAACCATTCCTGAGAGGGGGGGAAAAAAACAAACAAAAAATCCAGTTCATCATCAGACTAGAAGGAAGAGAAGTATCAGATGTAAAAGCATATCTGGGCATATTTTTGCAACACAAAAAACAAAGAAGCTGGATACGCAAGAAGAGCCCTGTAATATGAAAGTTACAAGGGGTTTGACATTTATGAATCCAGTTCGAGTGCATCAGCAGCACAGGCTATTTGTCAATGAAGTACACATTCATCCTTTCCCATTGGCAAAAGGAATTCTTTCATTGCTCAGGATGCAGGCAGTGACAATTTAGCAAAGGATGAGGGGACTTACTGGGTAAGAAATTCCAAGATCCCTAAGCAGAATGGAAATTGCACAACTAGGTGTGCCAGTATGCCCCTTATGCTGGTCTTGAACCAAAAGCACATTGAATTCTATTCAGTTCAGTGCTTTGTCACCTACAGCTTTAGTTCAGCTCAGGATCAGGCAATGAAGCTTGACATAACTATAAAGAGCTTAAAAGTCTCCAACCACTGCAGTGTGTTGTTCTGCATGGCTGACAGGCCACATGCTGGATACAAACACTTTCAAGAAAAGGAATGAGAAGAGGAAGCAATGAATCGACTTTGCTCACTTAGGCGACTACATACTTTTTTGTTTAAACTCACCAAGCAAATAGGGAGCGAAAAGTTACTAACAGCTGTTGGTAACAAGAAGACATCAGCTGGTGCTCCTGGATGTTCACTCTTGGTTCATCTTCCACACCCTGATTTTGTGTAACAGCTGCCTTTAATACAGAACAAATAATTCATTAAATGCTATTCCAAGGAAAGATAACAGCACAAGAACCCATTTCCATAAATTCCATGTTTAAAAAATGTGAAGAAAACAAAGCAACTCTCTTTTTCCCACAAACAAAACTAAAAATACTTTCAGAGGTGACAAAACTTGACAGTTTTTTGAGTCAAAATTGCTGCCTACTGACCTGGAAGTAGTTGTGCATGTTCTCCATGTGATTACACAGTGGCTTTAGTAGCTTGACTACACACATAGCAACTTCCTTGGGGGATCTCTGACACAGGTGGGAAAAGCCAATATCCTTGTAGCCTCTTTCCTGCAGCAAACTCAAAAGATTAAAGTCACTTCATCAGCCTCACTTGAGAATAATTTTGCATCAAGCGCTACCTCAGAGTGCTTCTGAGGAGTGCAATTCCTGATGCCATACACTCTTGTCAGGAAGGATCACAGAGTAAGAAAGTTGGCTTCTGCTGAACAACCAGCACCAACTCAGACAAGTGGATAACATTTGATGAAAAGAATAAAACTGATGTGACACATAGCTCTTTTATAGAATCATAGAATCATTTAGGTTGGAAAAGACCTTTAAGATCATAGAGTCCAACATTTTACTCAAACACTAAGAGAAGGCAGTCTCTACACATAGGAATCAAGATAGATATAAAGACAAGGAGAAAGAACACTGAATATGATGGAGTCGATCATGTTGTAGTGAGTTTCTCATAGTTTAATGCAGTGGGTCACACATGTTTACTTCCCTCCTGAAGGCATCAGCCAGGAATGCAAGAAGTCACTGCACTCCGGGTATTCTTCTAAAGACTGCAGAAAAAGCAGAAACATGGATCCAGCAGCTTCTGTTGGATGCGGCAGCTATCTGGCCTACCTAACCTGAGCTGCTTCTTGAACAGCAGAGCCAGTCTCCCCAAGGAGGGCTAGAAAATGGGTCACTTGAGTTTTGAGGCTACAAGGCCTCAGTCATATACCCTTTCCTGAAACATGCAGAGAACCAGGTGCTGCAAACACTTCAGCAAGGGAAGTGGTACAAAAGTCTCTTTCGAAAGAGCAAGTGCTGCTCTAACACACAGTTGGGTATCAGACTTCCATTTAACTGTTAGGTGAAAATAATTCTGAAAAACATTTCTCTCAGGAAAGGCCTGGAGGCCACTGATGTGCTCTTCCTCAGCCCAGGTCTAGACGCATTGGCTGCTGCTGTACTTGCCTTTGGAAAGGGCACTCTCCTTGTGGAGCCCGGGGTCAGCACATGTTCCAGCTTCCAGCACAGGTCATCCAGAAGGAAGCAAAGTTCACCAGGCCCCAGCTGCACAACTTCAGGAGCCTGCAATTACAAGAACAGTCAGGCCCAGGACCCAGACTCAACTCTAGTGCCTTGAAGCTCAAGTTCACTCCCTCCATTTCTAGTTATGACTCCTGGCTTGGTTAACCTCAGCCAGGGACCTATAAAACCCTAGCATCTACCAAATGTCTCCCTTATTGCAGGTATGGGGCATTGGTTCTGGTTACTCAAAGTGAGAAGCAAACCTGGTGCTCTGAACATAGCTGAGGCAATGTCAGTAACGCTTAACTACTGAAGAGGGAAATGATTTATATACAATGACATTGAAAATAAGCTTGTAAGGATAGAAAGAGGTTTAAGCCCAAGAGTCACAAAATTCACCAACTGAGTCAACAAGTAATTTGAAATAATGCCACATAGCCCAAGAGACTTGTCACAGTCTTCAAGTTGGCCTGTTACCCACAGGCACAGAGACAGCTGTCCTTGGAGCAGGCCAGGCTGTACTCCAGCTTGCCATGGCCTTTTCACAGTTTATGAACCTTACTGTAGCCTAACAAAATTAGACTCCAGATGGGCTCAGTCTGCCTACAAAGAGGGTAACAAAATTAAGCACTTCTGCTTTCCACATTGATAACAATGCAGTTGTATATAAGCTCCCAGATGATAAACAGGACCCTGCCCACTGAGGGCACATTCACGACATCAGTCCCACATTTGTGCCAAGTTTCCAATCTGCTGATGCCTGGAGACACTTGCCTTTTTGCACCATGGGCTTTACTTCAGTGCCGTAGGTTCTTTTTAATAGGCAAGCTGCCTCTTGGTGTATTTAACATCCTACAGCTAGGCAGTGTTCAATATTAAAGTCCCTTTCTTTCCTTAGGTCTATACATGCTATACTGTATCCTTTTTCCTTTTATGCAACGTTTGTATTATTTTGTTTTTAACGTTGCTACACTACATGTCTGCTGTTCTCAGGACAGTCTTTATCTCAGTGCCTTGAACTACTTTGGTTTCTTTGGGGGCAAATTCTCTCCTAGTACATAGTTCACAGACCTGGACCAACACATCTTAACATCAATCTGTCCGTTTTAATGGAACAGAAAGAGCCAAGGCCTCTGAGAGAGGCAGTTCCACAAAGTTTTATCAGTATGGTTTTATGCTGTTGCATTCACCTCTGTATGCATCTCTGTGTCCAAGACAGACTTTGTCAGCAGCCCACAGTGGAGTACAGTGAACACTTCGAGGTCTAACTCTCGGAAATACAGGCGATAGCTCTGCAGCTGTGCCAGAGGATTTCCTGCGTCTCTCTCAGAAGCAGTCTGAAAAGTAAATAGCAGAATTAAGGTTGCAACCTGCCAGACTGTAAGACTTTCTAGCTCAAATAAAGCTATTTCTTTCACACAGATTTCTATATTTTGTGCCAGGTTGAAAAAAAAGACTAAGAAGAATTCACAATAGCTAGTAGAGAGACAAGCACATAGAATCAGAAGCATTTTCATTTTGGACTGTGCAAGTTACTAAAAATTTTCTAGAAAAAAATAATACTTAGGAAACTGGAATAATTTTTGCTATCTCCTTTCTGTGAAACCCTTTCTGGACTTGCACCATAAGCACCATGAGAGATGAAGGCAAATGTTTTTATCTTTGATACATACCAGGATGGTAAACTATGGGATGCTCTGTTGCCTCTGGTTGACAATCTCTAAGTTCTTAGAGATTCACTCCATGCAACCCTGTCGCAGGAGCCGATGTATGTTACATGTGGCTCACAACAGGATTTCTGTACACTACCACCATGGGCAGGGCATGGCATCTAAGGGCTCGTATGGGACCAGTGCTATAGTTAAGTAAGAAAGATTAGATACATTCCTTCCCAAAACTATTTGAGACTTTGCTTATTCTCTGTTACTTAAGTGACTTTGTTATCATATCTGACTCAGTTATCATATCTGTACAATATCAGGGAAGTAGAAGCATATTTGCCTGGCTGAAATTGATAAAATGGACTCTGAATAACATTTATTAGTAACAGTGGTAGAAGTGGGGCCTTGTGGGAGGCTATGAGACCCCAGCCCCCAGGATGCTGAGCCCGAAGGTGGGCGCATTCCCCTGGCTTCTCTTTCAGCCAGCACAGATCTTGCATTCCAGACCTGATGACAATACTGTAAAAGCTTATTCAAAAGAAGAAGAAATAAAATCCAATAATTCATTAGCTGATAGGTTTGGGAAATAGTTCTTAGCGTGTGATGAAAATGGATAATTTTAGATACCTTATCATGAATACATTGATTAAATACCTCAAGGAAAATTTGCAAAATGAGGGCCCATGACTAAAGCAGACTAGAATCAGTGGGAGATACAGTCCTTACCAGGGTTTGTATTTTCCAGATTCATCTCACAATTTCTGACCTGATTCTAGGAGTGGCAGGTTATTGCAGTAATTTGAGAGATGGGACACTGGCTTAAAAAGAGAAAACTGCTATACTCTTAACCAGAGAATAACTAATAGTATGATTGATAATCCTGCACATTTGCACTGCCCTGAACCACACTGCCTGCTGGAGAGTGTCTGGCCTCTGCAGCATATGATTTTCAAAATTCAGATGGGAGGCAAGTGTCAGAAAGCAGAATTGAACTACTTGACTGTGATTAACTTTTGAAATGAACAACCCCTCTCTCAAAGCTTCTACTTATGCTTCTATGTCATCTTCCCTAGTCTGTCTTTCTTGCAAGTCCCCAGGGGTATACACCTACCCTATCCAGCTCGGAGAGCTCAGTATCAGGCTGGTTTCCCTCAGAACTGTCATCTGCTTGAGAACGATCTGCAGAGCCGGCTTTGCTGCCATCAGTCTTTTTTTTCCTTCCTTAAAGAGAAAAGCAACTTCAGAAACAAAGGCTACACTGCGCTCAACACTAGACAGCACTTGCAGCCAGGGAAACAGCACAGGTTGCACTTTAATCAGCCCTAAGAAAGCATGGAGCATGCACAGGTTGTGTGTCATCCGTAGCCAGGATCACGGTCCAAAAGAGAGTCAAATACATTTGGGGCTTCCCCACAACCAGCTTCTCTTTTATAAAATCACAGTAAGAAATAAAAGCGAGTCTCACTGTTCTTACTGCAGTTTAAACATTATGAAGTGATTGCAAAAATGAGTGGGACATCATCTTAAAAAAATGCTTGAACGAAAATTTAATGTTTTTTCCTCAGATACAGTATTGAGGAAGGAAGAGGACCTGGAAAAGGACGATAAGACACAACTACAGAAGGGACTTGCAGGGATGCCAAGCCAACAGCAGTGTAACTCAATGAATTCCTTGCAATGGTCTTCACTGCTGACAACAGTAGGGAGATTCTCATACCTGATGCACTATGTAGCAGAGAGATCAAAAAATTTTCCAAGTAAATTGCACAGGATGTATTAGACCAAACAGACAGCCAATAAGTTACCAGGGCCAGGTGTGAGGGGGAGAGTGAAGCCTTCCCCTTTTTGTTGGCAGCAAACTATTTAACTTAGCTCAGCTACAGTGAGATGCTGCACACCTAAAGGAAGAGCAAGGTTGGTGTCAAAACTGTATGTTCTCAAGGCTGTGACCCATGATCACAGTACTCACTGATTTTTTTGTAGGCAAGACAAGCTAAGCTCAGGAATCTCTTGGTCTAGTCTGAGCTGGGCTTACTAGTCTCAGCACTTACTTCCGCTCCTTCAAAATAAAGTATCTCAAGTGATGTATCCTCCTCTTGTTGCAGAACATAGTCATAAATTTCCTTCTGCCTTAATCACTCCTACGTGACAGGTCCAGTCCCTGCAGAATGGGTTTGGCCCAGGAGAAAAGGGCGCTCTAATCTGTGGCCTCCTCCAGTTGTTTTCATTAAATGGAATGTGAATTTTTGTCCACTTTCAGTTTGCCTTTGTCTGCTCAAAGGCAGACATGTTCCTAGGAAATGTTAATCTAAACTAGAAATAGAACTAGAGACAGAAAGAACAAAGCAAATCTACTTCAGCTTGAAAACCTGAAAGGCAAGTTCTGTTTCTTCTCTATGGGAGCTAGCAATGGGAAAGGCTGAAGGAAGCATTTCCTTGTGCAGTAGAGCCATGACAAATTTCCTAAGAGATCAGTTACGTACAACCTAAAGGTCAGGGATTTGCAAGGCAGCTCAAGCCACAGGTTCAGTACCAGACAATTGCACAAACCCATCAAAGGCAGAACAGCTTACTGCTGCAGAAAATACTTTGGCAGATGAAAACAGTCAATGAAAGCCCTGGATTTTCACTGTTAAATGCTAAGCATCAGTTTTCCCAAGGAGATAGACTATCCAACACCTGTTTGGAGTAGGATATTTTTACATCTCCACTTCAGTTGCAACAGGAGTTGATCAGATAAGATTTTGAGCTAGATGGACCTTGTCAGGAACTCTGTGCTTTATGTACACACAAGTGCAATGGTTGCAGTGCAATATGCCAGTCAAACACACATCATATCTGTTTGCTTAAATGTTTTAAACTTTCTTTACCATTCCTTTTTCTCACTGGACCATTAATGGATGGTACGGCCTCCAGGGCTTCAGAATCAAAAGTAGCTGGTGGTGGGACATAGCCAGGGGTTGCTGAAAGAGCCAAAATGTAGAAATTGGGTTATTTCAGCTCCTGAATGACAAAATACAGGCAAGATACATATCTAGAGGAAGTACCATTATGTTTCACTATCCTGGTGAACATCCTTCTGCTCTTATGCTGAGGTGCATTTAGCTCCAATTAGCCTTATCGTATGTCTGCACTGCACTGCAATTACAGCTCTTCCCATTCCTCCAGCCAGGGAGCATAACAAGTGCTCAGCTGTCCTTGGACATCTGTCCGTGTTGGTGAAGCTTAAAGGGCAGTTCTAGCATGTCTGAGCCCTTTCCATGCTGGCCTTGTGGTGCGCTCGGAGCAGCAGAAAGGTGTTGAGGCTGCACTTTATTTAGGATGAAGTTGGACTGTTGGTTTACAGACACAGCTCTTAATGGATAGCTTGTGTAAGGGTATGTGGAAGGTGACAGTGTATTCTTCATTAAGTTTATCTTATCAAAGACCTTTTCAATGTAAAAGGAGATAATAAGTAAAGGAAGAAGCCATAAACAAGGACAGACACAAACCTGGTAGACAAGGGATAATGGAGACAATGCCAAAGACCAAAAGTCTCCAGTTTGTAAGTGATGGGCCATTAAGAAACGCCAGGCATGGCTTTGGGAATGGACACCTGGACTTTGTAACTGATAAGATGGGAGGAAAAAGAGGAAATTGAGGATTTGGGATAGTCTGATGGCAGGGAGGAGGGTAGAACTATTTAAATTAATGAAGGAATGTGCGGGGAAGTGGGGTGGGGAGGAACAGAGAGGGGAATGGACGGAAACAGTGTAAAAGGGACATGCCATGAGTAAAGCACTGCTGGTCAGTAGAACTGTCTGATCAGTACACTTGCCTGACTAAATCCTGTGCCTGATCACCACAGTCTATCCTATCTTCTTATTAAGTACTTTCTTAACCGTATTTCAGTGTAATCTTGCTATCCTGTGCGTGTGTGCATGTGCACATGTGCACGCGTGTGCCACAAGGACTACATGTCAGCTACTGGTGAGACCTGCAAGTAAACACTGGGTCAGCAACTAGAGTTGGACCACCCTGGGCCTGAGGTGCCAGCAACTGGAGCGAGCGAGGGTCTCAGTGTCAGTAGTTAAAGGTGCTATAGTTCTTGGGAGCATCTCTACAGGTCACACAGACTTTGTGTCTGGAGCATGTGCCTGTGAGATGAGTGTGTGTGTGCATGTCTGTTTGCTAGCGAGCAGCAAGCGGGAACAGCCTGTGAGTAGGGGATCCATGGAGCAGATTAGAGGGCCTGGGATTTGGGCAGGCTATTGGGCAGACAGAGGGGCTGTGCCAATACTTGTGGGATCTCCAAATGATCGTGTGCTTGTGACTCTAGTGTGTTGTTTGTGTGCCTTCACTAGTGAACTTCAGTCTTAACCAGCTGAAGAGCAGGATGGGGACTTGGCTGTCTGTACTTATGTTTTATGCAAGTCCTAGATATAGGTGCTGTTGAAGGTAGCACCTTGTCTGTGGCAGTCCATGTAGGTGTGTCCATCAGCCTGGGACAGAGACCCCAGGGTCTCCACACTGGGCTCCAGTGGTCAGGCAGGAGGCATTCATGGGCTAGAGCAGCTGGAGGCATCAGATGCTTATAACATTCCTTAACAGCTTGTTACATCCTGAATACTGGAGAAACACAGTTTCTTTAGGATAGAGGTTGGTTTACTACAGTATCCACCATACTCAGGCAGCTTCTGCCAAGTCTGCCTGGGAACAGTCAAAGACATGTCACTGAGGAGGTGATTAAGAAGGGCAGTTTGGGCTCAGACAAATTGAAAACAATAGCTGTCCATGCATGAAATTTAGGCCACTGTAAAAATGCAGTATGTGTTACCATATACTTCCTCCATTGATGTTTAAGCCAATCCCTTTCCACTTCACAGCTGGTGCAGGCCCAGAACGTACAAATGTTTGATACTCACCTGCCAAGCATTTTCCCAGCACAGTCTGCAGCTCTGTGATGTTCTGTAATCGAGTCAAAACTTTCCCCTTCATCTCGGCGTCCTGTTGCTGGCAGAAGGCATTTACAACCTAGAGATACAAACCAAACTCACTGACTTAGGGAGATTTGTACCCACTTTTACTACTTTTCTTTTCTGAATAACATCCTCAAGTCCTGAATAAGCACACAACACAGCACAAGTGGCCCGTTTGACCAGATCCAGACTGCATGAACAAAGCTCTTCAGAAGCCCATGAGAACATGGACATAATTGGCGCAATCTACAGAAGGCAATAAAGCAACACCTACAGGTCTAATGTTAACTGAAGAAGCGGATTTAGCAGACGGCACCTTGCCAGGTTTCTGTGCTGCTTGTGGCTCTGGAGATTCCTTGGCACTTCCCAGGTCTGCCAGGAAAGAGGCAGTCCTGGGAGAAGAGCAGGAACAGGGAGGACTGGGGATGTGGATCTACACCTTCTCTGACATAGCTCATGTTATCAGAATAACCCCAGCAAGGAACATTCCCATCGACCATCAATGTTAGCAAATCCATGGTCCTAATCATTTGAAGGCACTGCATTTCACCCTTCTGTAAGTTCACAGAGGTATAGAACAAAGCACACAATCACAACTGAATTTGCAAGGGACCTGTGAAAGCCTCTAGTCCAACACCCTGCTCAAAGCAGCATTAACTAAACAGGTTGCTTAAAGCCTTTCCTAGTAGAGCACTGAGCGTCTCCAAGAAAGACACAGCTTCTCTGGAAGTGCAGCACAACCCTTCTGTTAGGTAACAGAAGACCATAGTAAAAGACTGCAACATGCCCTCTCCTCTGGCTTCCCCTCTCCAGGCTGAAAAACCTCTGCTCTCTCAGCCTCCCTTCATATGTCACGTGCTCCAGCCCCTCATCAGCCTAGTAGCCTCCACTGGACTCACTCCAGAATGACAACAGGAGCCCCAAACTGGACACAGTACTGCAGGCAGGGCCTCACACATGCCAAGCAGAAGGCAACAATCAATGCCCTTGACCAGCTGGCAACTCTGCTCTCCAGCATGGTGAGACTGACCTTTTCTTTCTGATGCCCCCTTCATAGTTTAGACATGTATTAGCTCAGAGTTTAGACATATATTTGGGGTTTACAGCACCCTCCCTGCAACAGCAAAACCAATTTTCATACACCAAAATGTGCCAGAGTGTACAGACTGCAGGTGAGTAGCAGGTGGAAAACCCATATCAGCAAGGCAGTCTTTAGAGCCTCTGTCCAAGACAGCAGAGTTGCTGCTAGCAGCAGGATAAAGGATAAATGATAATGAAGAGAAAAACATGGAGAGATCACCAGGACCTTGATGGAGAAGGTTTCCAAGAGGCAAGACTCTTCTTCAACAACAATTTGCACCCCTGAAGCCTAAGGTTAGTGTTTGTAAGTGCTACTCCTCAGTGACACTCCAGAACCCGCAGACAAGGCTCTACTCACCTCACGAAACCAGTTGAGAGCATAGAACAGGAGTGAGCACAGAAATTCCCGTTCCTGCTTGGACAGAGAGTCCAGCTTCCCTTCAACCTCCAGGTCAGTCAGGTACAGGGGGCAACCTGGGACAGAGCAGGCAAAGAACATGTTGGACTGGGTTTGTTACCCATCCTTCAGTCTTCGCATGGACAAAGTCTCTTAGCAAAGCCTGTATCAGTTCCAGTGGCTATTTGGAGTAAGCCTTGTCAGCGACTCCATCCCCAGACAAAGCAATAGTCTCCTCTGCCTCCCTTCCACTTTGTGGGCAACAGAGCATCTCAGCCTCCTTCACAAACTGCACAATTCTTCCTACAACTGCAGGAAGTCTTTGCAAATCTGGGACAGGAACAAGGCAGACAGAGTCACTCTATAAAAGGTCTATTTCCCATACCTAATAAGGCATCAATCTCCTCCAGGCTTCCACTGTTTTGCTCTCCAGTGTAGAGCCTCAGCAATCGGAAACAGGGTGACAGACATATTGGTGACACTACCCTGGTGAAAAAAAAAAAAGAAAGAAACCCAGAAATGGAGTGGGTCCTATGTTTTATATACCTCCAGGATGCCCATCACTTTTCCATTATGCCTTATGTCCTCCCCATGCTACTTTGCCTATGCCTTCTATTTTGCTTTTTGCAAGTCCCAGCAACACAGAAGCCTTTTATTATTTTTAACTTTGATGCCCTACTGTTTAATTGGGTGTTTTTCTTTCTTACCTGCTTCCTGTTGCATTCTCCAAAGAGAAAGCCCACATTATTCAGTCAAATTTTGCTTGTGGCTGCATGTTTGTGGTTTTGCTCTGCAGCACAAGTCTACATTGTCAAAGTACAACTGAAGGTGAGAAAGAATCATGTACTGTTGACACACACCAAGTCCTTGGTGACTCTCTATTTGAGAATCATTGCTCAAAATATTAATTTTGCCACCTCAAAGTTGCCTATCTATCTCAATATGGCATTCAATATCACCATAACACTGGAAGAAAGAGCTACTATTCTCATGTGACAGATGGGAAACAAGGCAGATGCAGCATGACTTACCCAAGATCACCTAAACAGCCTGAGCCAGAACAGACCCAGTTCCCTGCCAGCTTATGCCTCTAGACCTATCTGAATATGTCTTAACAGCAAGAGAAGGAAAAGAACAGTGGAAACCAGTAAATTCTCTGACCAGCTCCTTATCAGGCACTTTGGCAGGCAGGGCTGATAGCAGTGTAGTGCACCAAATGAAAACAATTCCTTTAACCGTGGGATGACTGCAAAGGTAAGTGTCAAAGTACCTTTTACTTTGGCTACTCGGACCATCAGTGACCCTGCCAAGCTCGCTCTGTGACACCAATGGTAAGAGGTTAATAGCAATTGCTCCCTGACTTTCATCTTCATCCAGATTATACAAGGACTTCACTGGGAACAAGAACGACCTGCAAGGAAAGACAGACAAGCTCTTGTTGACAAACTCAGTTCTCAGTGACAGAAACATTATAAATACTTAGCCTGTGATTAGCGTACCCATCCACTGTGGGGTTGAGATCCACCACAAAGTCACTGGGAAAGTCCTCCACCAAACTCTTCCCAAACTCATCCTATAAAGAAAGGAAAAAAAACCTGCTCAGCAAAGGGGCTTAGTGAAGAAAGCTTCAACAGCAGCAGCGGAAAATGCAGAAGATAAGGCCAAGCAATAGTATCTTGGAACAGTCACAGCAATGAAGCCCACTGCCTGCAAGGAAAGCCAAGACCTGCCTTTAGAGACAAAGCCAGGAAACATTGCTAAGTATGCGCAACCAGTTTCTTCCCTGCTGTTTGGACATGGGCTTGTCTACAAGTTCCACAGTGCTGCAGAGAGGCAGAGCAGCTGGCTGGAAGAGGAAAGCAGCCATGGGAAGTTCTCTACCCTAAGAGCCGAATGTCAGAATGAAATGGCTATAAAGTGCTGGCAAAGTTTTTTCACACAATGTGTCCCACACACTTCACATGCTTACACTGTTAGAAACAATTTAGGGAGAAGTGAAGGAATAGATGTGACAGAGGCTGGACAAATAGACCATGAAAAGACCCAAAAAAGTCTGCACAAAAGTTGTGAGAAGAACCTTAATTTGCTTTTACATTTCAGTCTTGCAAGGAAAAAGGAGAAACCCTCCTTCCTTTGCTTTTCCTCATTGGAGCACTCAGCTGGACCTCAGGAGACTGGCATTTTTAGCCCTACGCACAGAGCGTTTAGAGTGACTGCCAGCATTTCACAGCTCCCTGGTCACCTTCCCTCGTTCTAACACACAGTTCCTCCCCTCTGTAACCAGCAGGTGCAAAGAGCGTTTGTGCCACAGTGATCAATTCCACAGCAGCCCTCAGTGCTCTCCTGGGCCCCAAGATGGCTTGCTACCCTCCCGGCAGGCACAGCGCACATGCAAAAAGAGTCCCCAGCAAGAAGAAAGAGCTGTCCGGTGGCCTTCACAAACTTCTTCCTATTACCATAAATACCATTTATTTACTTATTACCACAAATGACTGTGGCTCTTCCAAGTCCTTAGGCACCAGATAGCCTTAGTAGTCTGACCAGAACCCAATTTCAATACTACGTTTAAAGTTCTTTCAGATTCTACTTTTATCTATGAATCTTAAAAGCAGGCTCTGAAATGTCATTTCATTTCCATTAAAAGGCTTCCCTGTTGTCATGTAAAAGTTCACATAAAGGAAGCTGTTAAAGCACAGTGAGGAACCTGCCATAATCACAAAAAGCTGAGAGCTGAAAGAGGATTTTGTATCTGATCAATCTCTTACAGGAACCTTAAGCATGCCTAGGGAAAAGAGTTCTCAGACCGGAGTAAAATCCTCAGTTTGACTTTGTCCTGCCAATGCCTGAAAAAGATCATGTTTCTGAAGAATTCATAACTGATTAAGTTCAAACTACTCTGCAACCTACCAGGAGCTGCAGGTCCAAATTCCCCTTCTGCTTCTCAATCAAACTGGCGAGTTCATCATAGTACAGAGCCAAGACCTCTGGTGTTTGCTCACAGCAGAAGCCTACAAGGTCCAGCAAGGTAGAAAGCTGAAAGGAGAGAGAGCAGTCTGCACAAATGGGTAAGGTAAATGGATCCAACTCAAGCTTTTACCTTGAGTCTCTCCCCCTTTTACACTAATTTACTTGGAGGCATACCCAAAGCTTCATCTCTAGGGTAACAGCCCATGGTGACTAGTCTTGCAGAGACCCAGTTTTAAGAAGGAACATGGGTCTTTTAAAGTTCTGGCCCCACTCCACCATGAAATAACACAAAAGAGTCTGCCCAGGACCACCCTTAAATGGAGTGCCAGCCTAGAAGAAGGTTCTTCAACAGGAATTAAGGGAAAAGGCCAAGGCTAGGCCAACCCTGTACAGCAGAAGTACCTTCTCTAGATGCCCTGAAAGGCACCGCTGCCCAGCTGAGAGGAAGGTGAAGATTGCCTTTGGCTCACTGAAGTAGACCGTCCTCTTTCTTTCTTTTGTGTTTGAAATAACGTCTGGATAGAAGACTTTCACTAGATGGCTGTGGTACTGCTTGTCCTGGACTAGCCACAGGCAAGACCAGCAGGTGCTATCGTAATACAGATCTTTGTTTCTCCAAAACAATTTTTAATAGATTCTCTGCTCTTCAGTCAATGTACAAGAATCCCAGACCCAGTAAAGCTACACGCATACTACTTCACCTAGGACTGTGTTTCCAGTCACATCTCCTTGCTGACCATATCCTCCCTCTCTCCCACACTGCCTCATTCTTGGTACTCACCTGCCCATCACGCTCGCTGTTCAGCTCTGGTCTCTCCAATGAACCACCATCTCCTTCATTTCTGAAAGCAATTGATAACCTCACTTTTGTTGCACAACACTTAAGAGATGGCAAAACCCACCACACACACAAGGTTCTCTCTCCCCAAATTGGAGAATGATGCACGAGAAAGATGTTCTTTGGAACATTATTAGGAAAAGATCTGCTGCTGTTTGCTTCAGGACAAGACTCAATGTATTCTTCAAAGATATGCTTTTTTTAACCTGTTGAAAACTAAAGCCCTTTAGTCATCCCCGTAATGAAGTCCACTGACTCAGGGCCTGGAACTAAGATTGGCTTTTCTCTTCACGTAATAAACAGCAAAAGCATTTTATTAAGAAGTGCAAAATCAGTGAGCTACATAATGCCTCGCAACACCGGTCAACTTCTTATTTTCCAGGTGCTTTCATCTTTGTTGCAGCTCTTATCAGGAGTTTGCCTGGTTTATGAATGCTGTTCATAAATTGGTTATACAGGACATTGGAAATTGTCATGCCAATGCCCAGCACAGCAGTAACAATCTTTCTTCTTGCTTCTCTTTTAGATTTCCCTGTATTCAAATATGGAGCACACTAGGTTATTCATCCTTAGTGTCAGAAGCTGCTCTGCAGTCAGTCTACCACAGTGTTCAAAGTTTTTTCCAAGCAATTTTTTTCTGCACAGTCTGCAGAAAAGAGTTTTAAGTTCCTGGATTTGACCAAGATGTGCATGAGCAAGAAGGCAATGCCCCCCTTTCTTTGTCCCACTCCCAGTTTGGTCTGAACTGAAAGCATGTTAAATTCGTTTTTGCTACGTTCTCTCTCACCTTTTTAATGCCACGCTGCCTATCATGGTAACAGCGCCAATAATCCCCATTTGTTTGTGGTTGGGAACTGTGCTGGAGAGCCATTTCCTGATCACCATGTGCATATCATCCTAAAAAGAAAGACACAGACTGTGTCACCAAAGAGGTACTTGTGTGCATCACTCACAGTTCTATTGGCATCTTCACTTGTCATCTCCAAAGGCTGCAGGGGGATGGTTTATTGGGATTACAGCTTTGCAAAAGGAATGCACATTCTGCGATTTCCTTTATTATGAAAATACTGGTCACAACTCTAGGTAAGGCCACAAACAGCATTAAAAGTGACTTGCTTTGAATTTAAGTGGTGATCACTGCAGAAGAGCAGCATCCTTGTTATTCGCATTCTCAGACTGCAACAGAGCATGTGTAAGAACTCAGAAGCAGCTTCATAAAAACAGCAAAGATCTCGTAGGCCACTGAAAAACAGAGAATCAAAACAGCCCTGGCTGCATCGATTCTTATTAACTCTCCTTACTGGTCCTGCAAAGGAGGAGAAGGAGGAGGTTGGCCCATACAGGGATCCTCAGAGATTGAGAGCTGCGTGAAAGCACAAGCTCTGACCAGAGAGGGGGTTTTCAGACAGAGGAGACGAAGACTTGAGTTATGCTATGCAAACTACCAGTGCCAACAAGATCAAACTGGTAGCAGAGAAAAGGACAGTAATGGTTATGCCATCTTTTCTTGACCTTCACTAGGCAAGATGCCTCTGGAATGACCTGTGCAGTGCAAGGACAAACACCTAATCTACCTGCAGAGGTTCTCGTGTCCAAGAGGCATCAGTTTTAGAAGTACAGTTAAGAGAAGGCAGAGAGGAATTTGTTTCCCAGGATACTGATTGCTTTGGTGATCTACCCCTGGAGTCTTTGGTATCACTGAGGACAGAGTCAACTGCCAATCTTGGACCCCCACAGTCGCAAACTCTCAGCTCAGAATAAATTCTAGAGCTTACACTCCTCCCTTTCTTTTTGCAATTTATGAGGGTGACAGGCAGAACATAGTCCTGACAGCTAGTCCTTCTGGGCTGCAAAGTCACCTTGTGTGTTGCCAAGGCAATTTTCACAAGAAAGAAAGACTTGGAGGTGGGGGTTGGAAATTCCTGAGGAAAGTAGTTCAGAAAGGATCTAAACCTACCATACGACTGGAAATTTTGGCAGTGAAGAGCTCCATCTTAACAGGGTGAGTGGGAAGAAATGGCTACAGTCATGCTGTTTTACATGCCACAGACCAATCAGGAAGAGAGGAAGAGCAGTTTTCCTTCATAGTCTCAAGCTAGCATGTGCAAACATACCCACAACTAGAAACTATGCAGGGACTCAAAGAAAGACAGATAGTCCTAATTTCTAGGAGCTGAGCTTTACAAATGGGAAGATTTTAAACCAAGACATCTCCATTGTGGAATAAATGTCTTTGAGGTATTTCTTTATCTGATCACTGCCATTCTTAAGCAGCCAGAAATGCAGACAAAGGTATCTGATACCACCACTATTATGCTGCATCCGAGTCATACAAGGTATCCTGTGTAAAATGAATATGAATTTAGACAGACCAGGCTTGATAGCTTCTCATGTTTAAACTAGAGGCACAAAAGATGTGAAGTCTACCACTTCACAGCAGAGTCCTCTGTGCTGTGTAGCTGAGTTCTAACATGAGTGTCTTTGTTGTCTCTGTTGTACAAACATTAAGCAGCTGAATCAAGATGAACATCTCGTGGAAGAAGCTGAACTACGCTTTCTGAATGCTTCCAAATAATGGAGAAGTGAAGCTTGATTAAGAGGCTGCTGAATTTACACTTCTGCAAGTCTTCAAGGCTTAGCTAGACAAAGCCACAGCCAACCTGATATCATGTTGGTGACAGCCCTGCTTTGATTAGGAGGTTAGATTAGAGACTGCCATCAGTCCCCTTCCACCAACATTTCTATCAACTCTACCTTTCTTAGATGTACAAGAGAAGAGGACTTTTCCAGGAAAGATGTGAGGTATGCAGTCACTGTGATTAGTCCTTGCTCTACAGGGTAGGAAAGTCTGGAGCCACAAGCTGGCTTGCAGTCAGTTGGGGAAGAGAGAATTTTAAGCTGAAGGACATCCTGACATCAATCACTGTTCATAGATGAGGCCACTATTTGCACAACAAAACCTCTGGAAGTTAACCTAGCAAAAAGGACCAAGGTACAGCCTGAACTCCTTTCTGTTGTGTCTCTGCTTACCTGAATATAGCTTCCTTCTTGCCTCTGGCTGAATGCTAGTGTGCTGAGAATGTAGAAAAGCTTCCGGATCTGGCATGGATTCAGTTTCTGTGTAGAGTCTAAAATGGTCTGTAAGGGAGAAGCCACAAACTAACTCAGATATATCAAGAATCCCTTTCATATTCCAAATAATACGCTGATTGTCAACCACAGGGAAGCCAGTTAACTTTATATTTTTTGTACAGGCAGGAAAAAGCTACATCATATTAAACAAACATAAAACCAGAACTATTGCTCTGGCCTCAATTATTGCAGTTCATTTTATCAGAGGGTGAATGGGAAGAACAATCTGTCTGCCATAAGCATTTTGGGAGTGCTCCAATCCCATTAGTGACAGCTATTTATCTTCTATCACAAGTTTGGTCACAGCTTTCAAAGTATTTGACAAAATGAACATTATGGTTTTTTTGCTAATATTTCCATTACGAGCCCTGTAACAGTCAAGTTGTTAACAATTTAGGGGTGGAATTGTCTTTGCTGGCTCATATTCTCAGGATATTTCTTGTTCCTGTGCTTCAGTGAAAAACAGTCTAGCTGTTTCCCAGAGCCACTCTAGCTTTCCTACCACTGACATGGCATTTTGCTCCCATTATTTTTCTCCTACTACTGGCCAACCTCAAGCAGGATTTGAAACAAGGTGTCGAGTTTGACAGGATTAGATAAGCACTTTTGCATCAAGAAAATTCACTCAGGTTTAAGATTAAAACATAACTGTTTGGGAAGATGATCTGTGCTAAGATCTGCATGTTCTGTCTGTGCTGGAGAGGCTCCAGCTCAGTGTCAAATATGCCAGGCATCTGCAGCTCTACAGATCTTTTTACAGGTAACTGGCTAGTGTCTCAACCACCTCTGAGATGTATGCCAAACATGGTACACTGCCAGACCTTGAGGTCTGGACAGAGCATCAATTAATGTGTTTCACATACAAGCCTTGGTAATGTATGAAAGGTCGTCCCATAGAAACCATGATCTGTAAATGATCTGCCAGCACAAGAACATGCAAACAATGTCAGGAGGAAGGTCAACAGGTCTCAGCAGACTGCTGTGGGCAAGTACTCCCCATCACACTCCTGAAAACACATTCAATTATGAGCAGGAGTTTTAGGTTGTCTCTTTCAAGAGCTACTTTCAACCCTGAGTCCTTATCACATCCTTTGTCTGCCAGGAGGGAAGCGAGTCCCATTTCTGCCTGTTAAAACCATCAAATGTGTGACAGATTGCAAATTCTTACGGCAGACCTTAATGCCTTTTTAGCATATTTTAAAGAAGTAATTCAATTTTAAGAATCAACCAGCTAAACAGCAAAAAGTATATAGCTTTCCCACAGTATGTACTTAAACGACAGAATCCACTGACACCAAGTGGGCATCGAAAAAGTCAGAGGGGTGGGAGGAATACACATACCCATACTCTTCGAAGGCTCTTAAATACAGGATGTCCTTTAGCTACAAATCACCACAGATGGGGGAGTGTTCAAGAAAAGCATTGCTATATGCTTGCCTTGCTGGTTTGCTCTTTCCTCAGTCTCCACTTTTACTACTTTTGGAAACAGGCAACTGGGCAGGCCTGACCCTACTTGTCACTCTTAGGAGTTAAGAAACCATTTTTTTTCTCCCCATTGAGTGCTTTCTTCTTTTAAATTTTAGGACATAAGTCTTTTCCCATCCCTGCCAGGAGTTTTGTTTTAGGATTCAAATACTGGCTAAAGTACTATCAGTCTTTCAATGTGGTAGAACAGGCAGTCCACACAGGGGGCAGGTTTTTTGTGAAGTATTTGAAATAACTGACGTTAATAAAGACAGCATTTTCCTTCCATCATAGGCGTCATTCCACACCTGCAATTTAAACATTCTCCAGTTACAGGGAAGGGTAACTTTTTTTCTTTGTCTATCTCAATTTCCCCTATCAAAAAAACATACAGTCACATCTTACAGCTCACTTCTTCATAGCAGATACCTTTCACTTCTGACCACTGCATTTCTCAAGACATCTTTACAGGTACGAGTTGTTCCATTATCTCTATTTCTGAAAAGTAGTGACCTATTCTGGATCTGGGGCAAAGTGTTGTAAGGGTCCTGAAATGTAGTATGCCCCCAGAAATATTCATACCTTCACAAAGGTGGCATAGCGCATCAGAAGGGATGTGTGCAGCATCACCAAATCAGTGAGTACATCCAGAGAAATGTCCAGTTCTGTCTCATTTCCACTGCACACGTGAGTCACCAAAGCAGTCACAACCTCCTAAGGAAAAAGCCCCCAGAGAAACCACAGTGAAATGTCAGCAGAAAATTGTCTGCCCTGTTCTGCTCCTGTAGAATATATTGATCAAGTACAAGTACAATTATCCTGAAACTCAACCATATTCTATGTCCCTTCTCAGTTGCTCTTAATTCCTGATATCCACGATATTCTTTCCCCTTGGGCCTGAATTTTATTCAGTTCTAAAAGATCCCAAGTTTCCATAAAACAGCTCTTCACCAAACTTTTCCTGCCTGCTTGCTAACACTGTTGCAGGTTCTGCTCTTTGCTACCGTCACATATGATGATAAAAATCTACCCCATTTTCTTCGGCGCACAGAACCCTGCATCATACCCAGGAATACATTGCCTCTAACTTCAGCAGTTCCAGTGTCTTAATAATCTTTATCACCAGCAGTTCAAAATTTACATTTTTGTTTCAAAAATCTTTTCATGGCCTTACTTCAGTTGACTTCTGGACAGGGATCTCTCTCCACTCCCATCCACTGTCTGTGGCTCTGGGTCTTTTCTACGTCACTAATTGCTAATACAGCCATCCTCTTTTGAAATTATTAACATGTCAAAATATTGCTAGACTCATTAGCTTGTTGCAGATGACACTGTATGCCTTCACATCTCAGGTTTTTCCCAGTTGCTTTTTTGTTTGTCTACTTGTTAAGTTTGCTGTAACAAGTAATACAGATACAAAGCTGGAAACAGTCTTAATAATAAACATACTGTGCCCAAAAAGTGCAAATACATTCAAAAGCTTGTGTGGAGCTGTCTTCAATCCCCAAATTTTCTGATGTCAGCATGTCTGTAGGAACTCATACTCTGAGCTGAAAGTCTAGTCTGATTATTTCAGAGTATGCAGAAGGAGCCCAAGTTGGTCAGAGCTCTGAGGGAAATCTGTAAACTTTTTCATCACAGTAAGTTATCCAAGGAAAGGGAAAAGTTTCAATACAAACTATAACAATGGCTTTTTAAAATAGATGATGCTCAAAGTGACTAGGTAAGACAGAACAGGAACATGGGTTTATGAACTAATCTTCTCTGTGACCCTGGGGGCCAGTCCTGACTTCCTGACTAGATCTGTCAACTTGTTTGCTTTCTGAATTGCAGCAAACCCAGCATAGTCCCCTCTGCTCCAGAAGTATTTTTCATTCTGTCACTTCTGAGGCCTGCCTGTTTGCTCCCTGCTCCTCCCAGAAGTCTCTGTGCTTGAGTCACTTGCTACCAGAGTCTTGCTGTGACTGTTCCTCATCTTCTGCTTGACCTACTCTACCTCATAGACCTCCCTCCAAAGGCTTCAAACTGCCTCAAATCCTCTCCCCCTAAAGGAGCATGACATACATTCTAGAACAATGTGCAAACACAACTAAAACAGATGCCATCCATCACATTATACCTGCTGGCAGTAAGAGTCAAAGGCTGCAAAAGCTTGTTTGTACATGCAGCTGCCAAAGGAGACTATGGCTGGGTGTGCAGAGTGCAGAAACGTCTGAGCAAGTGCTAGGATTGAAGGGAAGAAGTCTTTGATAACCTGAAATACAGACATCATGAAAGAGGAGATTATTGCTGCTCATCTTAAACACACTTAGCTCCTTAAATAAAGGACATGCTACAGCTCATCCCGAACGCTTTGCCTCGTTTAATAGGTGCTTTCCTGCCTTCTCTGACTGTCCTCTCTCACATACACAGGCAAAAAGAGTAGATAAGGCACACCAGAATGGGTTTCTCCAACCTTCTCCACACAAAGGATTTACAGATTGGTTAAGAAGCCAGCCTGCAAAGCTGCAGAGCTCACAGCAGCACATCCCTTATGGGTGACACCAGGGAAGTCACATTATAGCAATGTACCACTAAATAAAAGCCCCAGGACAGACACACTCCTGGCCTTACTTTAACAGAAGGACTCCACTACATCAAGATACTTGGAAAAATCTAAGTTAACTTTTAAAGTTAGCTTAATCACACAGAGCTCCTTTGAACAACAAGCTCTTATTCAAATGTAAAGTGGCTTAATTTACTTTATCTTAACTTATTCTGGAAGGGAGTTAAACTAAAAATGAATTAAACCCACTTATATTCAGAATAAAACGTGCCTACTTAAGGCACTATTATAGTTCAATTAATTAATTTTTAATTCATAACTCTGTGTTTCTCATCTGCCCTCTACCTCCAACAGCACTGTGTCATTTTTCATTGATCTTTTCAGTTTTCTCATAGTAAATGGTAATTTACATTACATTACAGACATATGCCCTATATATATACACATACTTAGATCTAGAAGCCATTACACTTGAAAAATGGTGAATGTAAACATATGAACTTCTAAAAATACTGTGGGAGACAACAACATGTCTGGAACACACAGTAGAGATGTTGGGCTAGATCGCATCTCTTAGGCTGAGAAGTTTTGCACCAAAACAAAAAGCCCACCCAATTCTGAGGAAAGCTCCTCTCTAAAAAAACCACTTGACAGTTACAGCAGAGGACATGTGCCTCAGAAGATTGATCTGGGACCAAAAACTAAAAACCAGAAGTGCACATAACAGGAATAGTATAAATAATGCAGCACAGGGTTAAATCATCATCTGGCAAGATCTTTGAGAGATAAAAGAGAAGAGGGAGTCCCAAAGCAGAATCAGCACTGACCATTGAATGATTTTGGAAGGCATTCTGCATCAGCTGTTCTGGCATGCAGCCCAGTCGAATTTTGCTCCTCAATACTTTCTCAGTTTGCTTTCTGTTCTTGGTGTTTGTAGAATGGATTAGCAGCAAAACTATCAGATCCAGAACCTTTTTGACAAAATAACCACCAATCATTATGCTGAAAAGATATTAAACAGTCCAGACAACTACACACTTTGAAATGAAAACTGAGAAGAAAATCAAGAGCTCAAAAAGCCCCAACAGCCACAACTGCAGAAAAACCTCATCAGTCCAACAGGACAGAATTAAAGCAGAATAACACTGTCCCTTGACATTTAGAAGAGATGAACTAAGTTACAAAGAAAATGGATAACTGTTATATTAGGAACAAGTCAAATACCAAAAGAACCACCCATGCAACATCACTGTCAGTTTCTGCTCCAACCAGAAAAATATCTTCGTCTACAGCCATGAAGAAAGCCCTTGAAAACACCAGTAGAAGAGGACATTCCTAGAGACAAGTGCAGAGTCAGAAGTATTACCTTATGGTCAGATACAGATGTGCTGTTCTCAATAGCCTAGGAGCAAAAAAAGCAAGAAAGCTGTTATGCTAGAGTACGATACTATATTCCAAAACCAAATCAAAACAAGGCAGACACCGAAAGAAATATTTCTCACAGACTTCTCTCCTACAACAGGACAGCTATCAAAGCCAGCAAACTGGATCTTGCCAACAGCACAGAATCCAGAAGGCACTCAAAAACCAGCACAAAAATTCAGCTTGAACGAGGATGTTCTCAAATAACATCAGGCTTGAAAAATGAACTAAGGTACTGAGCAATGAAAGGCTGAGAACAAGAAACAGTCTCATGGTTTACACCAAAATGCAATTTAAAATAAAATTTAGCCCAATAACAGCCAATACTGATTTCTTGCTGGACATTTTCAAGCATCTTAAGGCTTCATGCAGCTCAGTCTCAACATACGGGTATACATTTTTGGTCTCTTGCAAACAGAAAAAAAACTGAGATTACTTTTTCCAAAATTCTCTCATAAACATGCAGAACCAGGTTTACCCTGCATTTCAAGATTTGGGGTCTGTACAATGGAGCCCAGCAGCCATCTTGCGAGCACTGTGAAGTCGGTAACTGAGGAAGAAAGCAGACTCCTGGAAGAGCACTGCTACTTTGGAACACAGAATGAAATCTGCATCAGCAAAATGAAGGGCTAGCATTTGTCTTTTGATATCACGTTTGATTACAAGAAAGGCTCAGGCTCAACCTAGGAGTCCAATTAAATAAGGAGACAAGGACTGAAGCATCTTACCTTAATCCAAGCTTCAGAGACATCTTTCTGAAATCTCACAGCTAACTTGATCACATCAAAAAGTAGCTTCACACAATTTTGGCTGGTGGTTACTTGGCTCATTGAAGAACTGTAAATGATCAAAAAGGAGGAGACTTAGTCATTGTAAATACTGAAGTAAAAGGAACAAGGCAGCCTAGCAGTCACAGCAGTTACTTAAAGCAGCCATTCCCTAGAGAGAATGCTCTGGCAAGGATAGGGAGTTTCAGAAAAGGGTGGAAGCAGAGGTTGCAGAATCAAAGACATACTAGAGGGAACTTAAAATAGATGAACTAGCAGCAACATTATTATAAATGGACTTGCATACCCCCATGCAGACATGGATGCAGATGGCTCAAAAGGAACTATGTGCATGGCAGGAGAAGCCGGCTCCACAATGATTGACAAATGTGTTATATCAGCACCAACCAGGGAGGAATAAAGATGTCAGCACCTTTACTGGGGATAAATTAGGTTCATGTATGTAACCATGTGTGCCAGAGAGAACAGATAAAGAAGAACCACAGTTCTCTTGTCCTGTCTTATCCTTGGAGAATCATGTAAATCACCTCAAGTACCTGGCCTGGACTTGGCTTTTAAGCTTCTTCTGGGAACCTAGGATCTGCAGGGGCAGAACACATGATGACAGATCCAAGCTCTTACGAAGATCAGAAATCACCTGTAAAACACAAATCCCGGCACAAATCACTGTGACATATGAGGAAAGAAAAGGCTGAGGAAAAGAAAACAGAATCTCACAGAATAACCTTAAAATTACAGATCAAAAACTCATGTATTTGTAAAGATTTATAAGCATTTAACCATGCTCAACCTTTTTTTTTTTATACTTAGAAAGTGAACCAGCCACACTTTGCTATTCACTGTCACGCACGTGCATGCAGAAAGCAGAAGAGGATTTCTTAAGAGTTACACCATGAAATTCTCACCTACAGCTGCTCTATGTTGCTGTTAACTAGTTTTATCCTGTTTAGCAGTAGAGCAAGATATATGACAGCCACAGGAATTCTGTGGCACATGAATTTACCAATTTAACTGCTTTCAAATTGTAGTGGATCAGCACAGACTGGGCTGCATGTTATACACATGCTGTTTTCACAGTGGTATCCCTGAAAGATTTGGGCAGATCACAATCCACATCTGGCTTAAGCTGAGGTTTTCTCCAAGGATGAAAAAAAGCATGTTCAATAGCTCAGCAAGGCTGGCTTGACAAAACACATCTGGTTCATTTTAAAAATATTCTGAGTATGTTTCCTTAGATAAAGCAACTTGAAAAACTGATGAAGCTTACATCTTAGAATGAAAACAGTGCTCCAACAGGAGAACCACACTTGTAGGGATGTTTTAGAAACATGATTTAAAATAGTTTTAAAAAACTCGGTGTGGAATACAAGAAGAGAATTACCAGGTTGCAGTCCCAGGTTTGTTGGATACTTCTGGAATTTAAAACTCTTAGGTCTGTACAATGCAAAATTCTTAGATAAAATTCAAAGGCTTAAAGTTGCCACTAACCACAGTTTTTCAGTCTAAGAGTTTAACTCAAGACAATTTGACTGCTTTCAGTTCTTTAAGATGTTTCACACCAAAAAAAAAACCTCTAAGAACAAATGAGAAAAATCTTCAATAGCCAGCGGAAAGGAGGAGGTTTCAATTCTCATGACTGAAAGCAGAACCAAATCCATGTCAAATGACAGATACAGTTTCTACATGTGCTTTGATCCTTGGCAATATTAAAAATTTTACTTGAAAACATTAAAGCATACACCTCTGTATGTGAAGTAACTGCTCTCTATTAAAACACACTGGATTAGACAACTAATTGGTCTTCAGTATAGAGAAAATACTGTACCTCCACTGCATCTGCTGACTTCACATTATGGAGGATGAATTTTACCACTACAGGCAAATCTTCCAGTTTTACAGAAGGCACAATGGTCATGGCAGACTCCCGCACCTGAGGAGAAAGCAATGCTGGATCAGCTGTAAGCCTGCGGTTCGCAGAAACATAGTTAGGTTAGTGGGAAGGAATCTCTGAAGGCTTATAGTCCAGCCTTCTGCTCAAAGCAGGAACATTGTCAGTACTAGATCAGACCGGCATTGGCTTTGCTAACTGAGTCTTGAAGATATCCAAGGATGGAGGAAACCCCCCCCAACCCCTGCCACCTCTTTGATAATTTATGTCAGTGCTGCAGACCCCAACTCATTTTTCCAAATGTTCAACCTGAACCTCCTAGGCTGTAATTTGTGGCCATTGCCCCATATCATTTCACTTGGCGCTGCCGAGAAGAGCTAGGCTCCATCATTTTTTAACTGCCTTTCAAAAAAGAAAAGTATGGAAGAGGTGTAGCCTGCTATGCAGCACTAGCCTTTGGGGACTAAGTAAAATAGTATTTAATGCACTCAAATGAACCAATTTTATTCTATTCATAAGAAGCCTAACTGCAAGAAGTGCAACAATCCAGCACATCCAGAAAACACAGGGCACATCATCTCTTCTTCTTTATCAGCATTCTGCAGAGAAAAACTATGATCACAGAATCATTTAATCACCACTCTGCCTCTACTTGGAATAGAGCAGCCCAGTCTGGTCACTGTACCTCAAAAAAAGAAACAGTGACAATAAGCAGATTTAAGATGGGCAGTAAAAATTTACTACAGCAGGACAAAGTGCTTTGGCATTTGCTAAAACAGCTGTGTGTGAAATTTCTGAATGCATACTGTAACAGCCAGAAAACTTCTCTCTGCTCCTCACTGAACCCCTCATGCATGTTTCTAAAAACAGTTTTAGCTTCTCTGACTCCCTTCCAATTTCAGTGACCTCGGGACTTTTGAAGGCCTGTATGAGTCAGGTTTAGCAAAATACTTTGCATGACCAAACAGCTCTAGCTCTCGTGCGGCTAAGCAGGGACTGGGTTCTGCTCAACTGCTCAGTAAAAGCTCTCACCTCAGCCAGAAGTCCTGCATCGAGATCCAGACGAGAAAGGGCATCCAGGATTGGAACTGTTAGTCGTCTGCCCTGTTTTAGTAAGCAGCTGATATAAGAAAAAGAAAACAAATGATCCTCTTAATAGAACTATGAATAGATCTTTAGTAAATTGTATGATTCCAGTAGCTTTTGTGGTCACTGCAAAAAAATCTCTGACAAAAAAATATGCCACTGGTGTTATGGAAAACTTGTTCCCTAAATTATCACTCCTCTCTGAACATGCTGAATTGTGATTCTATGGTTGCTGATTAGAAGCAGATATGAAGAATCTGCCTTTTTCAAATCTTGTAAAAACAGGGAGCATGGACAAAGACCTGGTACAAGCCTCAAGCAAGAACTTGAAAATTGGAAGGTCCTGGGCTCGCTGTAAATAGAAAAAATAAGTGAGATTGCTGGTATGTGATTTAACCACACACATCACTTGGGCCTGATACCTTCTAGCCACATTTCTGTCCCATGGACATGCCATCAGTAAAGCGTAACTGAGATTGACACCAAAGCCAGGGATTGAATCTGTCTCATGTGTGACCTCCTCCCTAGTCACAATATTTGCTGTAAGAATCACAAACATGTAATGAAAGGCATGATGGGCCCAACCAGATAATCCGTTTAATCCAGCATCCTTTTCCCAGCACTGGTCAATAGGGAACAGACTAAGAATTGGACAAGTATTTACAAATGTTTCCTACATAAACTGGTCTGGCTTCCAGCAAGCTGTGGTTTGGCACCTTCTCGACCAAGGGACTGCAGCTGTGTTTAACAGCCGCATGGACTTTCCTTTCCCGAAATTCATCTGATCATTCTTGGCTGCCATCTAAGTTTTTTATAAAGTTTCTCTAGCAAGAAGTTCTACTTGAATTGTGTTAGTTGAAAAACACGTCATTTTCAGCTTCCTGGTAATTCTGTTTACGCTCCCTAATTCATTACAACAAGCAATGACTACTTTTCCACATCAGAAATGGGTAGAGGCTATTAAGAATATGGAAATAAATATGCCTTGCTGATACCGTTTAGACTCTCAGCTTTGAAAAAATACAAGCAGAGAAAACAGAAGTCTGAGGAGTTTGATTAGCATAAAAAATTTAATTGTGTGGAGCTTTTTTATCTAGAAGCTGAGAGAGTAAGCCGAGAATGGAAACACAAAGCTACAGTTACTTTAGAGAGGGTACAAGGAACAGGTTGCATTGCTTGCAGGTTTAGGCTGAAATAATGACCATAGGTTTGAAAAGATAGTTAACACCAGCATAAATGTAAGTGATCTATGTAATGATAAGAATTAGAAACACTGATGTGTATAATTAAGCATAGGCTAAGACTACCAAAAAAAATATTGTGTAAAATGAATACACTATTAAAAAAAAGACAGATGTAAGGGCTAGCTTAAGGTAGTGCTCTCTGGGAGGATAGCTATTGGCATTAGGTCCCCCTGTTCTTTGGGTCAGTAAATATGCTTGAGAAACGTATATAAAATAGCCAGAAAGTTCTGCTTCATACACACATTTATTGTGTTGTGGGGTTTTTTTATTAAAAAAACCAATGTTGACCTTTACTGTAGCAGAACCCAAGACAAATCAAAAGCTGTCTATAGTAATATCCAAGTGACTGATCACAGACTGATCCAGCAAAAGTAATAAGTACGTAACTGGATTCTACCTGTGCTGTATCCAGGTAGTCAAGCATTTAATAATTTTTTAGATAAAAGCACTTTTGGAGCATTTAGACCTCTCCTTAAGAGCATAGCAGCACAAATGAAATGTTCTAAGCCAGTGTTAGCTGTCCCTGAATGTTACTGCTATCAGAAATGGACTGTTGTCCTACTACTTTAGTCAGTCCTGGTGCAACCTGCATTAACACCAAGTCTTTTTCTGTTAAGCGCAAGGAGGGGAAAAAAAAAAAAAAAAAAGGAAAAAAAGGAGGAAAAAAAGGAAAAAAAATAAGGAGGGGGGAAAAAATAAGGAAAACAAACAAACCAACCAGAATTATCTGTACCTGAGCTCTCTGGCAACCTCACTTTGCTGGGAATCCTCCAGGATCTCAGGTAAACTGGTGATAATATCATGCTGGATTGGTACAGGAGAGACGGTAACCATCTGCATTAACTTCTTGACAAGATCCTGCAGACAAGAGGAACACTTGTGCAAGCAGTTCATTAGCATGGCAACAATATTATCCATGCAAGGTCACTCAGGAAGTAATTTGTCTGAATTCATGCCAACCGTCCTCCAACTCATTGTCCTGCTGAAGTCATGAATCATAGCATAAACTTTTATGGAACAAGGGTATTTTACAGGTAGAATATAACTATCTTGGTGAGCAAAGGGAACTGGGAAACCCAACAGCAAGCTTCTCAGTGTTTAGTATGACTTCTTGATTCAGTTAATTCTGGGTCTGTCTAGTAACAGCCCTCCACTACAAAGTAACCCACAGAGACTGACAGACTTAGCAAAAGAAAGAAAAGAACCACCAAAGCAGGAACAGAGAATTCATCCCCAGATGCTTGCAAGCATCCAATATCTCCTGTTAAAATTAAACAAGAGGGGACTGTAACTTCCTGCCAGCAACAGCTTTAAAATGGGGCCACCCATGTCGATACATACATACAGATACAGATTTATGAAAAAGGAGACAGAGCAAGTGAAGAAGAAAAATAATAAAAGGGGATGTTCAAAAGTCACTGGAGGCAATCATAATAAAACAGAAAGAATTAAATCTCTCCTTCACATGTGAATATGAAAACAACATCAGTTCTCATTAGCACAAAAATTTATCTCACCCCACCTGAGAGGCATTCCAAAGTTGACTGAAAAAACCCCATACATGTGATTGCACCATCAGTACCCACCTGGCTGTCAAGAAGCTTGTCAAGCCATTTAAATTGATTGACAATGAGCCGGGGGAAATTTGTTCCAAAGGTGCCCACGCTAGAACAGCAGAAAAAGTGAAACACAGGTTAGTCAGACCTACAGACAGACTCAAAAGCTTTGCTGCTGGTCAGCAAGACCATGAGATGCAATTCAATTAACCAACTATCAAAATCATATTACAAAAATATCATTAACACCCCTACAGATTTTAGCACCATCTAGGAAGAACCCTAGTTCCTACTTGCTATACACACAAAGCAGGGATACTGCCAGCCTGTTTCAGTACACTACCACCAACAACATCCTAAGTTATGGCACAAAAACCAAAGCATGCAATGTTACTTTACTTCAGATCTCCCGTGCTACCGTCAGTGTGGCTACGCTAGCTTAGGGTAAGTCTCCTTTGAGCCCATCATCCCCATCCCCAACTGTAGTACTAGATGCTTTGGGGTAAGTTTTGGGTAACAGGGCATTCACAGAGCAATCTTTTCACAGAGTTTCCACTCAGCCTCCAACAATAAGCATGTTGGCAAATCTCCAAGGCAGAAGCTGGTACGCAGTCCATCATGTCTGCTATCCAGCAGTACGTTTATCCTCCATTAATTTCCCTAAGCCTTATAAAAAAGAAAAAACACCACAACTGTGTGCAATTTCTGACCTTTACATTCTGCAGTACTGAATTCAACAGGGTAATTATGCATAATCTCAAAAAGTACTTCTGCTTTTTTTGTTTGCTGCCTTGCATAGTTAGAAACAGTGGTTAAACCTTCCTCAATTACCTTTTCTAAATTTTTGTTGCTTTTACAGACATCTATCATCTCTCTGCCAGTCATCTCCTTTGAAGGCAGAATTCAGTTTTATTTAGAATAGTTTTCCCTACTTATGTGGAAACTGTTCTACTATTTTTGTGACAGCCTGACCAGAAGTGCATGCAACATTCAAAATGTACTTGTGCCATGCATTTACAGTGACATGATGTTTTCCATTTTGTTCCAAATTTCTTCCCTAATATTCTGTTTGCTGCTTTGACTACTGCTAAGCATGGTACTGACACTAAAAATAACAAAAAGAAGCACCCAGACAAGATACCTTTCCTCAATGAAAACACTGAGTTTGCCACTGTATTTATATAATCAGGATTATTTTTAGTCTGATTTTTTAACAAAACAAGGTTTATGTAGCTGTACTCTCTAAGATGCCCTCCCTCTTCTGTAACTTCTGGTCACACTGGTCTGTGAACATATATGTACTAATAAATTGGCTGTTGCCAGATTGCACAGATAAACCAAGATCTCCCTCTCCTACAGTAAGTCAATAAATCGAGTGTCCTCTGTCCAGGCATCAACTGGCATTAAACTTATGTCTTTCACGTCAGATTTGGGAGAAATTGGCTGGTCAGTACAGGTGTTGTTACAGACTAGCTGTAATGAATGTTGTTTCTTGTCCCATAATTAAACAAAACAAAAAACAGTAGGAAGTCCACTGAAAAAAACTCTATTGTTCTTCACAATTAGTTTTAGATTAGATTATCCTGGAAATTGTTACCACAAGTTGTTACCTCACTTTTCATTTCCTTTTTCATTTACGAACATGCTAAACAACTAAGACGTCTATGGGACCATCTTCCTTCTACTGCAAAATGGACCACTTCTTTCTTCCCCCCACTTTTTAACTGGTCATTAATACATAGAAAAAAACTTTACTCTTCTTACAGTTTGATAGGAGTCAAGTGTAACAACATCCATTTTTAAGACTTAACTAAAGGGTTCACAGCACAATTAACAGCTTCTCAATTTTACATCCAAGATCCTTTAGAATTCTTGGGCGAGAACAATTCAGTCCTTGTGATTGTGTTAAACCCTCCTCTAACAAGATTTTAGTCTGAGACAATTCCTCAGACTCAACCTCTGTACAGCATTTGTATCCTGCTTGATATTTAGCACTGAAACAAATACTGTATCAGGAACAGCCTCAGCTTCTTTCTCTCCCTTGACCGGCTCCACTAACTCTGTAATGAGCATCCAGGGCACTGGAAAAAGAGCTTAAGTGTTCAGGTCTTGCCTATGTTGCGCCTCAGGATTTCTCACTCTGCCATCATAGAATCATAGAACGCTTTGGGTTGGAAGGGACCTCTAGAGGTCATCTAGCCCAACCCCCCTGCAGTGAGCAGGGACAGCTTTAACCAGATCAGATTGCTCAGAGCCCCGTCCAACCTGACCTTGAATGTTGCCAGGGATGGGGCCTCTACCACCTCTCTGGGCAACCTGTGCCAGTGCTTCACCACCCTCATTGTAAAAAATGTCTTCCTTATGTCTGGTGTAAACCTATTCTTCTTTAGTTTAAAACCATTACTCCTTGTCCTGTCACAACAGGCCTTGCTAAAAAGATTGCCCCCATCCTTCCTATAGTCCCCCTTTAAGTACTGAAAAGCCGCAATAAGGACTCCCCGCAGCCTTCTCCAGGCTGAACAACCCCAACTCTCTCATCAGCCTGTCCTTGTAGGAGAGGTGCCCCAGCCCTCAGATCATTTTGGTGGCCCTCCTCTGGACCCACTCCAACAGCTCCATGTCCAGAGCTGGATGCAGCACTCCAGGTGAAGTCTCACCAGAGCAGAGTAGCGGGGCAGAATCACCTCCCTCGACCTGCTGGCCACGCTTCTTTTGATGCAGCCCAGGGTACGGTTGGCTTTCTGGGCTGCAAGTGCACATTGTTGGCTCATGTCCAGCTTTTCATCCACCAGTACCCCCAAGTCCTTCTCCGCAGGGCTGCTCTCAATCCCTTCATCCCCCAGCCTGTATTGATACCGGGGG